GGGGGGTGGGGGAATTAGAGATCTTCGTTGGAAGTAATTGGGCTGAAACATGGAAAATGGGTTATGGAAGCAACATGGAGGAGCACAAAGAAAAAAAGAGAAAAGTCGGGATGGGGTATGATTTAGATTGAAGGAGGAAGTTTTACCCTCGCTACAAGGGAAAAAAAAGAGAAAGGAGAATAAGTTGGGATAGAGATACTAGAGTTAGGAAGTTGAAGATACATATCTTTAAGGGAGTTCACACATTTGTAGGTGTACCGGGTGGAGCAATATTTCACAGTGAATGGATTAAATGGGGAGGGTAAGCTCATGGCATCAAAGGTTATGGTCAGAGGAGAAAGCCCAAGCAAGGTTTCAGTGGAGGGGGGGTAGATACAAAATCCACTCATGGGAAGAGTTTAGGATTGCTTGTTAGAACGTTTCAAAGCCACTCAAAAAGGAGATCAATAAGAGCAATTCTTTGCATTAACTCAGAAATAGACTGTCAGGGCGTATAGGGAGAGCTTTGAGCTATTTTCAGGATGGTTGGGGTAGAATTTCTAAAGCAGAATTGGAGGAAAACTTCATGAAAGGTCTAAACTCCGACATATATGCAACACGTTGGCCATTGGGACAAGGGGGCTTGATAGAATTTATTATATTAGAGCAGTTGATTGAAAATCATAATGTCATAAATTAAAATAATAGGAGCAACACAGGTGGAGCATCATACCGAACTGCTACAATCACAATAATATCAAAATCTCAAATAGTTGAAGTTTAGAGGGAGGCTACACGGGATAAGAATCATGGGTCGTGACCAGGAGGAGACACTCAACGATCTTACAGAGACAAATTCAAGAGAAGCGAGTTAAGGGGTTATGTATTTGGTGTGATGAGAAGTTACCCCACTACATCGTTGCAATGATCAAACATTACAAATTATCACAATGTGTGACAAAGAAGTAGAGGAGAAAAAAAAATAGAGATGACAATGGTGGCAGAGGAGGAACACCCTCACTTTTTCCACTTTGAGTGGGGGGAGTATTATTACAAAGGTGCTTAATATAAGGGAAATTTAGTCTTTTATTATGTATTATTGTTTAGTATAAATAGACCCTATGTATGCATGAGATTGTGTCAATAGTCTTAGGTTTAAGGTTTGAGAGAGATTTCCTACCACTCGAATCGTAGGAATTGGGAGAGATTACCTATCTCTCGAATTATAAGTGTTTATCTTTATATTCATGTTGAGTTCTTTAAATTATTGCAATAAAATGTACTTGCCTTAACTTCTATGTGGAAATCCACCAAGAACCGTATCAGACTTATTGGCTACAAAGCTCAAGGCAACATGTATTGGCATATAATCATTAATAGTTATTGATGAACGGGGGATTCCCACTTTATAAATAAGGCAAGCAAAAAGATGAGATTTGAAACACCACAAAACTGCTTTCGACCAAACTATCTGGGCACAGTTCTCCATTTCTGCTCAATATAAAGCAAAATCAATGCAGGTGATAGTGTTTGTTATCCTCTTAGAAGTGTTCTCTCTTTCTCACGAACTTCTAAAACAACAACAAAAAATCCATGGAATGTTCACTTGAGTGAATCCCAGAGCACTCCAAGATCAACATTACCTCCAGAAAGAATGATCCCAATTTTCCTCATGTCCTTCCAGTAACTCTTCTGCTTGCACTGATCAGAGAGAATAGCAGCAAGGCCAATGGCTCCGCTCGGCTCCACAGCCAACTTAAGAACCTCATAGCAAAGCCTCATGGCTCGTATAATCTCTTCGTCATCTACAACAATCACATCATCAACTAAATCGCGGACGACAGGCCTGCTCGCATATCGCACCAAACACATAAATCAGCAATGAACATTTCAATTATTACGCCATTTACATACATAGCACACAATTCATATTAATTTAGACATCTCACACCTAAACTTTCATATTTACACACATAGCAACACATACACACATAGCACTCATATCTTTAACATCACATAAAAAATAGTGTCAATACCACTTTTTAAAAGTGAAATTGACCTTTTAATGAATAGATTTAAAGCACCAAAGTGATAAAAGTTTAGGCGTGAGATATACAAATAAATAAGAATAGTGTGCTAAGTATGTAAATTTCCAAAAATTAGTCGAAGACTGGTAAGCTAAAGTTAAAATTTCACATAAGTTAAGCATTCAGGAATAATGATATATGAATTGTTTTGGTTACCAAGTCAAGTCACCGAGAAAAGCTCGGAGGCCATCTGCTATTGTATTTGTGTCCGACTGTGTGACTAGTTTTCCAGATAACTTCGACCGAGCAGCATCGTCAGCGCCTTTGGGTTCAGCAAAACTCTTATAAAGGGATTGATTGACTTAGCAGCCAATGTAATCCCAGATATCAAACCACCACCTATAATTTGATAATATATGTGAAATGGTTTAGAATAAGTAAAAAGTACATGAAAGCTCTATGAAATAAAAGAGCTCTTTCTGAGATTTCAGTACAAACCGCTAATAGGAACTATTATGGTATCAAGCTCAGGTACTTGCTCGAGCAACTCTAATGATATGGTGCCTTGTCCACTGTCAGCAAAAAAATAAAGGAAGATTTGCATACATAGCATTCAATTCTATGTGTTGACATATCTAACACCTATACTTCAATTTTTACATATATATGTCACTTTATCTATTCATGAAAAAGTATGCGTTACCTTTTAAAAGTCAAAGTAGCGGCATTTTTTATGTGATATAAACAATTGGAGAGGTATAAATGCAAAAAAAGTTAAGTATTGGTGTTAGATAAGTAAATACATAGGAATTGGGTTGTATGAAAGTAAAAGCCCCCACAAAAATAAAACTAGTCATATAGCATATAATATGGAATTTTATTAGATCCAATGGTCAAATCGTGACCATTGGCTTCATCTTTCAGTTTTCTTATAATTTAAGTGAACTTTTTGTCCATCAAATATAGGCGCCGCCAAGCTTGTTGATGTAGTTAAACGAGATTAGTTGTCTTGAAGTTATGTTGATTGGTGATCACCATATGTAACCACTTATTACAATTGTAGTCCTTTCAAACATTCCCAATACCATTTTGTAGTAACAATCAAAATCTATTTTAAAAAAGTCATTATTTTTACTATTATCATTATTGAAATTTTTATAATTTTAATGCAATTTTTTTTTTATTAGTGTTGGCAATATCTAAACAGAATGAGAAAAATTCAGAGTTAAGGGTAGGTTAACAAACATTCATAATGTCATATAAAGACAAATGAAATGAATCCAAATCTAAATTTTGCTAGTGTTAAGATGTTCTGTGAAAGCAATGCATCGCAGCCTACCAAAATTATGGTGATAAGTAGGGGTAAGAGTGTTAATGAAAGGTAATTGCTATTAAGATAAGTGTCTACGAGAAAATTATCAATGGGGTCGGTTCTTATATTCCTCAAGTTGGACTAGAAAAGTAATTTGAGGAATAACTTTGAAATAAATGGGTGAACAAATAATAAGAGGATTATAAGATTTGACTTAAATAAGCAGAATCAATTAAGTCTTAGGAAGTTTAAAAATAAATCTTGCACTAATAAGAGACTTCTTTTTTTCTCAAATAAAGAGGCTTTTGCAGTTCAATGACAAGGTATAACGGGTTTTAAGGAAAAGGCATAAGCTCTTAAAAAATGACATAAATTGACTATTATTTAATCTTATAATGATTATATCTAAGCTAAAAGCTTTGCAAAAAGGATGCTGAGAAAAAAAGTTTTAATTTTTTTTTATTTACATAATATGCTTGGTATTAAGGAAAGAGAAAAGGAGATATATAGAATAACTATAATAATTAAAAATAGATATAGGAATTTCAAACATATTAGATTTAAAATAAGGATAATACTATCTTGGTCAAAGATGAAGACATTAAGAAAAGATAAAGTTATGAGAAATTGCTAATAAAAAGATATAACAATATAAAATGTTATAAAACTATAAATAATACAATAAAGTATGCTATATATTGATCTAAAAAGGTGGAGTAAAATGACCAAAAAAATCATAAAAACAAAAGTTTAGTGTTATGATGACTCTCAAATATGTGAACTAAGACGACACCGCAGTTTATAAGGAGGTTTTCTATAGCTAATGGGTACAACGGTCATTTGGCTATGACAAGTGTTTAACCTGTCATCTAGCATGAGTCATTGTCTATATATATATGTAATGATGTATATGAGTTGATGTATATGAGTTGAGGGGGTTAAGGGAGAGAAAATTATGAGAGCAAGGTGAGGAACCAAGAAAACTTGTATCTAGATCAATATCGATAGAGAGCTAGAGGAGATTGGTTCGTCCTTGAACCAAGAAAGCTTGTATCGAGATCAAGATCGATAGAGAGCTAGAAGAGATTGGTTCGTCCCTGAAATTGTGCGGTGTAATCTTCCAAATTGTCTCAGTGAATTGTTTCTTGATTCTCTCCCATGGATGTAGGTCTTATGAACCGAACCACGTAAATTCTCGGTGTTCTTGTTTGCATTTTCTTTGTGGTTTTCCTTTTCCCGTTTTGATGTCCTGCGGTTCCCTTGGCAGCAAATTCTGCTACAATTGGCGCTGTTTGTGGGAATTCTAGCCAAGAAAATGGGATCTGCTAAGTTTGACATCGAGAAATTCACCGGAAAGAATGATTTTGGCTTGTGGAGAGAATCTCTGAATCTCTTTTATGGAGATTTGTAATTAAGATTCAACGTGGAGAATTGTTATGATGACTCTCAATTATGTGAACGAAGACGATGCCACAGTTTATAAGGAAGTTTTCTATAACTAATGGACACAACGGTCATTTGACTATGACAAGTGTTTAACCAATCATCTTGTATGAGTCATTGTCTATATATATATGTGTAAAATGATGTATATGAATTGAGATGGTTAAGGGAGAGAAAATTTCTTAGAGCAAAGTGAGGAACCAAGAAATATTGTATCAAGATCAAGATCGATAGAGAGCTAGAGGAGATTGGTTTGTCATTGAAGTTGTGCGGTGTAATCTTCAAGATTGTCTTAGTGAATTGTTTCTTGATTCCCTCCTATGGATGTAGGTCTTATGGGCCGAACCACGTAAGTTCTCGGTGTTCTTGTTTGCATTTTCTTTGCGGTTTTCTTTTTCCCGTTTTACTGTCCTGCGGTTCTCTTGACAGCAGATTTTACTACATTTAGCTTCATAAGAGATACCTTGACGATAATTATTTGTAAGTGTTATGAGGATATTGCAATGATTTATTCAACAAATCTTTTTATAGAATTTCAAAAACAAAAACAAAAAAAAAACCAAATGATTGGAGAAATATTTTGGTACCAATATTTAAAAACAAAGATGATGCTCAAAATTGTGCCATGGAAGAAAAAAACTTAAAAGAGTCATACAATGAAGCCATAGGGCTGATGTAATGAAATGTAAGATCAAAAAAATTACGACTGCTTCAAAGAACAATCTGATTTGATTCTAGTAATGTCTAGCATCAAATTGATTTATATTAAGATAATTATTAAATAAGTATTGAGAACAAAAAAATAATCTTTTTTATCTTTATTTATCAAAGAACATATGATCAAATATAATGAAATTTGATTTGGACTGCTTTAAGGCAGAGAAGTTTGTGAGGAAAATGTTAATATTATTAAAAAATATAAATACTAGAATACTAGCTATTATTAATAGTTGAGAAGTGACTCAAGAGTTTTAAGTTACTATATGTTACATCAAAGATCATCAAATGAATGAATATCCTTTTGTATAGCTTCTGAAAATCCCTCAAAGTGAGTTGACCTAGTGTATGTTTTTTGTAAATGATATAAATTTCAATTGGTTAGACAACCACAACAATTAATGAAAGATTAGAAAAGTGGAGAAAATATTTAAAGGTATTTAAAAGATAAAAATCTTAAAATTTGAGGAACAAAGGCAATGTATAAGATAGTAATTTTAGCGTGGTATTAACAATTATCTTTCAATAATTTTAGAAAATGAGGTGATAACTAGCTATGATAAGTTAAAAGTACATGGAATTATGATACGTAAGAATAGAAAATATAGATAGGGTATACCTTTCAAAGTAAAGGATGAATGGCTAAAGTGAAATAGTGAATTGAGAGATCTGTATAAAAGAGGATATCATTAAGGCTTATGAGTAAATTTATAAGAAAAAAGGCAATTGGTAATGTTGTGTGAATCAAATTGGGTCATAGAAAATCATTAATATTTAAGTTAAGTGTAGCAAAAATGAGAATGTTAGGATTGATGCAATAAAAATAACAAAACAAGAAATGACTAGACTAAAAAAAGCTAGAGTGACATCTATTAAATGTAAGATGAATTAAAATAGACAACAGGTTTTGAAATGTGCAAAAAAAGAAAGAAAATATGCCCTCTAAGATAAGTTAATAAAATTAGTGTCATAGAATTAAAAAATAACAGATAATTCATAGATTAAACATAAAAAAATATTCCAAATAATTTGTAAAGAATCAATTTAACACATCAAACAATACTCAATAAAAATTATGAAAAATAAGAATTTGTAACAACAATTTCAAATAGATGGGATAAGGCTAAAACTGATGCTTGATCCCCAAAAACCCAACCATGGACACCGATGCAGTATGATAGTCTATATAATGCGGATATGCTTTTTTTCCTTAAAAAAAAACAACGCTTCCCCACACCTAATATCTTCTAATGGTTGGCAACTTGGCATGACTCCTATAAGCAAGGCTCTTATAAGTAGGGCTGTATTCGGCTCGTTCGAACTGCTCGTGTTCGAAATTGGCTCGTGAACAGTGTATTCGTGTTCGGGTCGATTTAAATATTCATTTTCGTGTTTGGCTAGAAATTGGCTCGTTAAAATTAAATTGAAACAAAATAGATGTAAAGTGTTGGATTCAAACATAGACTAATGAATGCAAAAGAATGCACTAACCATGTTACCACACGAGGTGTTATGATTTAAACTTAGATATAAATATATATAATATATTATTATATAAATAATATATGTAATATATTATTATATAAATAATTATATATATTTTTTACATTTCGAGCTAAAACAAGCCGAACACGAGCGAACAAAGAGTTGTTCGTGTTCGGGTCGTTTATAATTCGAACTTTAAAAACTTGTTAGTGTTCTGCTCGTTTACTTAACGAATAAGCCAAACACGAGCTACTTAACGAGTCAAACACGAGTTGTTCGCAAACAACGAGCTTTTTTGACAGCTTATAAGAAAGCAAATCAACACTTCACCCCGGTACTCTCCTTAATTTTGAAGTCATTGGTCAGAATTGTTTTCACTTCCAAAATGTCCAATCAAGCCATAAACATGTAAAAATTTCTACAGGTGAGAACAATTTGCAAAATACTTTGTGATACATGATTTCAAATCTTCCTTTTGCAGATTTCTACGGATAAGAACAAATCCCAATAGATTCCTCCCGCCTTCCAAATTAAGTAGACACATAAAAGAATCTATTATTGCTCATATTCAAACATTTAATATACATATTTAATATGGAAGTTTAAGAGCACCAA